CATGTTTCTCAATTGACTTCTAATTTTGAAACTAGGAATTGCATTTTGTAAAGATTCGGCCTACCTCGTCTAAAACTCGCATGCAAATTTATTTTAACTTGCTTTGATGGGACCCCGACGGGTCTTTAATAAAAATTATCTATCTATCTATATGTAAGCTGTGAATTAATGACACTTGGAGAATAAGGACCAGTTAGTCTAGAGTTATTGACGTACGGGGATTCCGCAAGAGAAAGCTGAGTATGAGACATAAAGGATGTGGGGATATAGTTTTCAAACATTGGAATGCTAGGGGAGTTAGAACATGGATAGACTTGTTGGTAGTTAAATAGTGGAGGAAGGGGAGGAGGAGGGGGGCTAGAAGGAAAGTAGAGGCTAGTGGGTGAGGGTAGGCCGCTATAAAAATGAGAGGGTGGGAAACCAGGTCTAGGTTGGAAGTCAAAGGAGATAGGTTGACGTACCTGAGAACAATTGGTCTTAGGTGGTGGGAAGCCTGAACTAGGTTGGGGCATAAATGATTTAGGGCAATTCATGTATGAATTCTTTTCTGGATATATAGTAGGGCTTCGATAAGTAAGTGGTACGCAGAACAGAGAATTATTTGCGGATATAATTAGAGCTGCGGGGTTTGTAGACGTGCTTGGCTGAACAGACTTGTTAGATCTAAGAGAAGGCGGCGTACCCTTAAGTGGAACTGTCCTACCTTTCTTTCGGGTCGAAGTCTGATTCATAATAATAATAGTTTATTAAAGACTCGTAGGGGTCCCATCAAAGCAAGTAAAATTATATTTTCATGCGAATTTTAGACGAGGTCGGCAAAATCTGTACAAAGTGCAATTCATAGTTTTTGATGCAGTAGTCTGTTGATAAAAATGATTAGCGAGGGGTGAAAAAACTCGACACGATAATTACAAAATGATTGGATGTATTTTACAGGAGAATAAAATGCCCCTCGATAAAAAAGCAATAACAGAAAAATGCGGGCAGGACTGGCCTGCATGTGGCGGTATATAATGGATTATAATCGGACATCGACAGGCAGAAATAAATGCCAGCTGTATATGGCACTTCATAACGGATTTCATAAAGGGGTAAGAAGGCGGGTCAGTCAAAACTGGCCTGTATGAGGCCTTGAATAAGGCAAATAAGTGGCGAAATTGAAAACTAGTCTTGAGGCGATAGGAACCCAGATGCGGTCGGTTACAGTCATCCGAGTCCATCCGAGGCTGGGGCAGAGAGATGCGACCGGACTACTAGTATATGGCGACTACAGAATGTTTCGCCAAGGGCGTCGATGGATCGCATTCTGTGAGGGCACGATGCATGAACTGAAAGATTGGAAAAATCAACATTTCTGGTGAAGGATCTTAGGAAGCGATAAGACTCACAAAGGAAGGAAATGTGAGCAGATACGGAATGTTAATGGCAGCATCCTAAATTCCTGGTGGCCCTTTCTCAGTGTTATAGAGAAAGTTGTCCGGGAAGGATGAGGAAAATAAAAATTTACTCGAGTCAGTATTCATATAAAGGCGTAACCTTCTCTTAAGGGTGTGTAGATCATCTGAAGATCTTATATTTATTCGAAGGTTATTCCGGAGGAAAGTATGTATGGAAGCGAAAAAAAGAGAGCGCTTATAGGTGGAGGGAGCTGGCGGAGGTATAATCAAGGACGAGTTGCGAAGACTGCATGGGTGACTACTAAGGGTAAGTGCTGAAATCCGAGGAAGATTTGAACTACTATTAATGCGAAAGAGGAGACAGAAGCCTGCTTCTAGTCTTCGAAACCATAAAGCATTTTAGGTCACTTACCTGGCACGCAATCTGAGTAGAAGATATTTGGATGATCCCTATCTAAAAGTTTTTTAGAAAAACGTCTTTGAACATTTTCAATTTTTAAACGACTAGCCTCATTCATCAAACCAAATAATGGGCAACAGTGCTCGAGAATTGGAAGCACAAACATACAATAGAGCCTTAAGTTAATTTCAGGAAGATAGAAATTTTAAGAAATAAAGCCACAAATCTGGCAGCTTTGGCTGTAATTCTGTCAGCGTGTGGCGAGAGATCAAGATTACTAGTGTAGCTTAAACCTAAATCCTGGATGGTGGTCCATTCAGTCATAGGTGTGCCTTGAAAGACCACTGGTTGGGGTAGTCTGTCAGGTCAAAAACACATATAGCGACATTTCGAAGGAGAGAATTCCATTAACCATTTTGAGCTCCAGGCTGAGAGAGCAAGCAAGTCAGCATGGATTTGCTCCAGGTAATGAAGACTCGTAGATTTATTGAAAGAATATACACTTTGAGATCATCGACATAAATAAATGATTAAGAATGCTTAACTGCCGCCGAGATATCATTTACGTAAAGCAAGAACAAAAGAGGACCTAAAACGGGGCCTTGTAGAACACCACTTACAATAGGGCTTTCACGGGAAAGTGAAGACCCAACCAAAACCTTTTGTTTACGATTAGACAGGTATGACTTGATAAAGTCTATTAGTGGACTGCGAATTCCCATAGCTTCTAATTTAACCAAGTGTCTTTTATGTGGCACTTTATCAAAGGCTTTGCTAAGACCAAAATAAATAACGACAACAGATAGATGGTCATTTCGAAGAGAGGGAAGTAGATTGAGAAACGACAGATGACATGTTTCACAAGAACGATCTGGTAAGGAACCATGCTAGGAAGGGCTAATAACTTGGTTGGCTATGCAAAAATCAGTAATTTTTAAGGCGAAAATTTTTTCAAAGGTTTTAGCGAGAGAAGGCGTTTTATGGACACCTCGATAGTTCTGAACGTCAGAACGACAGCCAGTCTTAAATACAGGAGGAACAATAGAAGTTTTCCAATAGTCAGGATAGAAGCCATTTACGAGGAATACTGAAAAGAGTCTGCTGAGCAGCGGAGGAAAATCTCGTAGCTGTTTTATAAGAGATTTTGGGATCTTGTCCGTGCCTACTGAATGAGAGTTAGGAAGATGGTTTATCATTTTTTGTATAGTTTCAGGAAAAAAATTAATGATGCTGAGA